CTCTCTATTCCTTGAGACAAAACAGTATTGCAACTAGGTTAATTAATAACCTTACAACGGCTTCTAAGTGTTTGAGTGAAGGGAAGAGTTGCATGTCTCATTTTAAACCAAAAGCTAGACATGATTAAGCTTGGGGAGGAAGGCACACTGAAAGCTCAGAAAGTCTGAAAGCTAGGCCTCCTGCATGAAACAGTTAACCAAGTTGTGAATGCAAAGGTGCATTAAAAGTGCTACTTCAGTGAACACACAAATGTCAAAACCTTATTGCTGATATGGAGAAAGTTTTAGTAGTCTGAATAGATGATCAAACCAGCCGCAACATTTCCTTAAGCCAAAGCCTAATTCAGAGCAAGATCCTAACTCTTTTCAACTTCATGAAGGTTGAGAGAGGTGAGGAAGCCATAGAAGAAAAATTGGAAGCTAGCAGAGGTTGGTTCATGAGGCTTAAGGAAAGAAATTTTCCCCACAACATAAAAGTGCAAAGTAAAGCAGCAAGTGATGATATAGAAGCTGAAGCAAGCTATCCAGAAGATCTATGAAAGATCATTGATGAAGGTGGCTACACTAAACAACAGATTTTCAATGACAAAACAACCTTCTATTAGAAGAATAGACTTCTTCCATCTAGGACTTCCATGGCTAGAAAGGAGAGTCAAAGCCTGGATTCAAAGTCTCAAAGTCCGGACTGACTCTCTTGTTAGGGGCTAATGCAGCTGGTGACTTTAGGTTGAAACCAATGCTCATTTACCACTCTAAGCATCCTAGGGCCCTTAAGAATTATTAATCTACTCTGCCTGTGCATTATAAATAGAACAATGAAGCTTGAATGACAGTATATCTGTTTATAGCATGGTTTAGAGAGTATTTTAAGTCTACTGATGAGACTTACTGCTCAGAAAAAAAGATCTCTTTCAAAATATTACCACTTATTGACAGTGCTCCTGGTTACCCAAGAGCTCTGGTGGAAATGTACAAGGAGATGAAGGTTGCTTCCATGCCCAACACAACATCCATTCTGCAGTCCATGGATCAAGGAGTAATTTGACTTTCACATCTTATTACTTAAGAAATACATTTCAGTTCAGGAGGCTGAGGCATGAGAATTCTTTGAACGTGGGAGGCAGAGGTCGCACTGAGCTGAGATCATGCCATTGCGCTCCAGCCTGGGTGATAGAGCAACACTCCAGTCTCAATAATAAATAAATAAATACATTTCATCAGACTATAGCTGCCATAGATAGTGATTTGTCTGATGGATCTGGACAAAGTAAACTGAAAACTTCCTGGAAAGGATTCACCATTCTGGATGCCATTCTAGGACATTCAAGATTCACAGGAGGAGGTCAAAATATCCACATTAACAGGACTTTGAAAGAAGTTGAGCCCAACCCTCATGAATGTTACCTCCTTTTCCACGGTCAAACATCTATAGAATAGAGCCAGCTTTCCTCTGATTTGGCATTAGTTCTGGCTCTCATCTTCCCAACTAAGTCTCTGCATCAGCCTTCTAGTGGCTTTTAGTCTCTGATGCACAAACCATTTCCTTGCTAATCCCATGATACTTATAAAACCCAGATATTATTATGTCATGTCTCTGCTAAACTATGTATATTGAAGAAATAAAGATGAAAACAAAATGACATAGTGTTTCCCATCACAGGATTATCATTAAAATTAAAGTCTGATCATATCAAGTATTTTTCCAGGGTATGGGGAAGAAGGTTCTCATACATAGCTGGAAGTATCAGTTGGTATCATTTGGAGGGCTTTTAAACAATGTGAACTAAAACTTTAAAGGCACATACCTACCAACTACAGGGTTCTGAATCTACTCGGAGGAACCTTCCTAGGAAAATGAAGGAGGTATACCAAAGACATTTATTAAACCTTATTTAGAAGAGGAAAAACCACAAAAACCCAAATGCAAAACAATGAGGAGATGGCTAAACTGTGGTATATCCATGTTCTAAAATAGATTAAACACATGGCCTATGAGGGGTCTTCACAAAGTTCATGGAAAATGCATATTATAGCAAAATTATTCATGGAGTTCAAAAAATTTTTGTATGAAAATAAACTTGTGCTAACTTGTTATAACATGCCTGAACAGAATCTAGTTTGAAGCACTAAGAAGATAGGACATCAGAGACTTCGGGTTTGACAAGCACCTCTATCAGAGAAACATGAGTTCTGCTAAAATTAAAGCAAGAACAAACATCAAATTTATGGTGAAGGTTGGGTAAAAACATTGTGAAATCACTGATGCTTTACAAAAAGCTAATGGGGACAATATCCCAAAGAAATGAGCAGTTTGCAATAACTCATTTTAGGAAGAGACAAGATGAAGTTGATGGTGAAGCCCTCAGTTGCAGACATCAATTCATGTCAATTTTACATTAATTTGCCAGGAAAAACTTTATCTTGTTCATGCCCTAATTGAAAAGGACCAACCACTAACAGCACAAACAGTAGCCAATACCACAAACAACTCAGCACACAATTCTGATTGCAAAATTAAAGTTGAACAAACTTTCCACTTGAGTGCCAAAACCATTGTGCTCAAATCAGGAACAGACAAGAGCAGAGCTTTCAATGGAAATTTTAAACATGTGGGATCAAGATTCTGAAGCATTTCTTTGAAGAACTGTAATAGGAGATGAAAAACGGTTTTACCAGTGCAATCCTAAAGACAAAGCACAAGCAAAGCAATGGTTACCAAGAGGTGGCAGTGCTCTCATCAAAGTAAAAGTGGGCCAGTCAAGAGCAAAAGTCTTGGCAACAGTTTTTTGGGCTGGTCCAAGCATTTTGGTTGTTGACTTTCTGAAGGGCCAAAGAACAACAATATCTGTTTATCATGAGAGTGTTTTGAGAAAGTTAGCCAAAGCTTTAGCTGAAAAATTCCTGGGAAATCTTTCCCAGAGAGTCCTTCTGCACCATGACAATGTTCCTGCTCATTTCTCTCATCAAACCTGGGCAAGTTTATGAGAATTTCAATAGGAAATTATTAGGCAACTACCTTTCAGTCCTGATTTGGCTCCTTCTGACTTCTTTTTGTTTTCTAATCTTAATAATATTTCAAGGGCATCCATTTTTGTTCATCTAATGTGAAAAAGACCACTTCGACATAGCTAAGTTCCTAGGACCCCCAGTTTTTTAGGGATAAACTAAATGGTTGGTATTGTTACTCACAAAAGTGTCTTGAACTTGATGGAACTTAGGCTAAAAAATAAGGTGTTTGTATATATACTTAATATATATACATACATACATGAACTGATGTCCTTGAGCCATATAAGTTTATATTTTGAATTTTTATCTTTTAATTTTATTTTTCCACAAATATTTTCAAGTCTCTTCATATGTCTAAATATACTGACATGGAAAAGCATTACATAACAATATGCTATGGGCTGAAGTCTCCCTCATCTCCAATTTCATATGTTGAAGTACCTCAGAATATGATTGTATTTGGACATAGGACTTTTAAAGAAGCAATTAAGGCAAAATGAGGTTCTATGGGTTGGCCATAATTCAATATGACTGGTGTCCTTCTAAGAAAAGGAGGTTAGGACAGAGGCAGACACACACAGAAGGAAAACCATGTAAGGACACATGGAGAAGGCAGCCATGTGCAAGCCAAGGAGAGAGGCCTCAGGAGAAACCAGCCTTGCCAACACCTTGATCTTGCCCTTTCAACCTCCAGAACTGTAAGAAAATAAATTTCTGTTGTTTAAACCACCCAGTCTGTAGTACTTTATTACAGCAGCCCTAGAAATCACACAATGTTAGATGTTTTTTATGGATGTGTATAGACGCATGTGATGTAAGGAAAGCAGAATTACAAGGGCCCCGCTCTATAGTGGTTACCGTTTGGGAGGGAATGGAATTGAGACTGAGATTGAAAATAGTGGCTGAAGGGGATTTTGTCTTAAAAGTCAGGTTTTACATTGTATGTTCTCACCAACATGTGAGCTAAGCTATGAGGATGCAAAGGTATGAGAATAATGCAATGGACTTTGGGGACTGAGGGGAAGAGTAGGAGGAGGGTGAGGGATAAAAGACAACATATATGGTGCAGTGTATACTGCTCGGGTGATGGGTGCACGAGGATCTCACAAATCACAACTAAAGAACTCACCCATGTAACTAAATACCACCTGTACCCCAATAACTTATGGAAAAATAAAATAAATTCTTTTAAAAATCAGGTTTTAATTTTTATAATGAGAAAATACTCACTTATCATTTTTTTTTTAAATCTCTCTTTCATGGGACTCCATTGACTATAGTATGCAATGGTCTTCACCACCTGGATCCAACTGTTTTTGGAGTTTTATTTCATGTCCAATCCCATCTCCCACTCTTGCACTCCTTTATACTGCACCAGATTATTCCATCATTCTAATGCCTATATGCCTCAGTCTGTCCCCTCGGCTGGATTGCTATATGCCATTTCCCAAGCCTGGGTTGCTGGTCTCCAGAGCTCAGACTGAATGTCACCTGCTTTATAAATACGCTGCAAAAGTCTTACTTGGAAGATTCCCTGAGGTATACTTCTCTGTTCTTTTGACATCTTATTCTCATTTGTGCTCCCGGTCCCTAATTGGTGCTGCAGCCAAGTAAATGCTCAATAAATGGTTCCAAATAAATGAATGATAGGAACACTTTCTAGCAGTTTGTTTTCCATCTAGCGTATCTCAAAGGTCCAACATTTTATTCTGTGTGTATTAACAAACTCCCTAAAGACCAGGGCTATAATTGTGGCATGAGTGAGGTCCTAGCCTTTAACTATTCCTTTGATACAATTGGGACAACTGTATTTCTGAACCAGCCAAGCCCCATTTGTTTTCAATTTTAGTGAAATCAGCTGAGAATGCATTGCAATTTATTTTATTCAAGTTCTGTGCCCACAAAGGTCTTTAATTAATAATTCACAATAGGTCCAAATAAAAAATTCCATTGACCTCTGACTCGGGGGACTCTGATAACCCAGGCCTTACCTTTTCATCAGCTTGGGTGAGCATTCTCTCTCCAGGTTTGAGGATGTATGCTTCACGTGCATTGCATTATAGGATGTGTGAGTATAGTCATTTTCATCGCTGTAGTCAGGACCGAGTAACGTCCGGGCCCAAGTTCCCATATCATAAGGAGGAAGAGTTCCTCCAAACTCAGAAGGCAAAAATTCAGGGTGTATTAGCTGGTGAAGGCTGTTTAAATTGTTTCCATGCAGGAAAATCTGTAAAGAAAAAAAAAGTAATTAGCAATACAAAATCCAAAACATACAACCAAGGATTTCATCTAATACACAATTTAGCAATGACAAATTGGATGCGCTGCTGGTGATCAGGGTGCTTAAAGAGACATTGATTTTGTGACTGCAGCTTAGTCTTCATAAAATATTAATGTATTGCTTAGAAAAGAGGCTGAATTAATAGTCATTAAAAATGAAGTTTATGAACAGATTGAGTGTTACTTGGCCGTGGGCCAAATTTGTACATCTAGTCATCTCCTAATTATCCCTGTTGGTAAAAGGAGTGATGGTGCAGACCACCTGAAACCCCAGCTATTGCTGGATCTCCAGACTGCTCTGTTCTCCCATCTGTGTGCTCTCACCCAGTCCTCCAGATCCTTCCCCCGTTCCCCGGCCTAGACAAAGTTGCAGCTTCTTCCTAACTCATCCTGGTTATAGCTGCCTATTCTGCTTCTTTCCAACCACCTTCCAATTAATTCTTCAGTATCTGCTGACTGCTGACTTCTGTTTATTTTATTTTTATTTTTCCCACAGGGGGAAAGTATCTAGAGAAAAAGTTGGTGTTTTCTTACTCCTTTAAAATGCTTCTTAGCTCCTAGGGTCATGTGGGCACAAGGTAGAAGAAAATCGATTCTTATTTAATGGAATCAAAAACCACAGCCTGAGAATTTATTGTGAGATATTTTTGCAGCAATTTCCATTTTTGTCTGGACTGGGGACTAAAGTCCAAACAAGTTTGCATCTTCTGAACATACAATAGATAGTGATAAAAATTGTGGATTCCTCAACCAGGAGAGAATCCACATCTCCAAGTTACAATTATTTCCAGATAAATCCACAAAGTGAATGAGCCATGAATAGATAATTAGCATTGACTGCAATTTAGGAGTTGACTCTGAAAGGTGACTTAAAGTGCATCCATGCACTGATGTCAGTTCCCACACTTCTTCATGTAGCAGGCATGAAGGCATTATGTGTAACACATAAGGTACACCCAAGTATAGGATCATCAAGTACACACACATGCATGCACATACACATACAGCATAACCATGATGAAATATAAATGTGGGTCAGGCACAGTGGCTCATGCCTGTAATCCCAGCACTTTGAGAGGCTGAGGCGGGCAGATCATCTGAGGTCAAGAGTTCGAGACCAGCCTGGACAACATGGTGAAACCCCGTCTCTACAAAAAATACAAATTTAGCTGGGCATGGTGGCGCACGCCTGTAATCCCAGCTACTAGGGAGGCTGGGGAAGGAAAATTGCTTGAACCCAGGAGGTGGAGGTTGCAGTGAGCTGAGATCACGCCACTGCACTCTAGCCTGGGCAACAGAACAAGACTTCATCTTGGGAAAAAAAAAAAAAAAATATATATATATATATATATATGTGTGTGTGTGTGTGTGTGTGTGTGTGTGTGAGTGAGTGATTTTTAAAATACTTAAACAGAGGATGTCAATAATAAACACTTGCTACCTTGTTCTATTGTATTGATTTTAACTTATGATGTAATGACATCATTTAAAGATGAAGGGGACAAGAAGTGCTAATTCTTCAGAAGACTACTGGAGCACTTCAGAAAGCATATCAAAACATTAAAATTGCTGATATTGCATTAAATATGACCGAATATTAATAAGAATTATTTCTTTTGAAGAAAGTCACTTTTCTGGCTTTTATAAAACTTTTCAGAGGGTGCTATATATGAAACGTGCTGGAGCAAAGTATCAGCTCTGGTGTTTAGAGAAAACATTTGCACCCCTCCACCCAACATGTCCAGTTTTTGGAAGACAAAGAGTGCTATTAAAAGTGACCCTCCCTTCTTGGGGTCTTCTGGAATGCAGGAACGCAGAAGTAGGAGGCTGGACCCTCTACCTGTTAAAATCTATCCTGTGCCCAAAGCTTCAAAAATGCCCTCCTATGGCATGGCAGCAAGTGTCCACCGTGGGAGGAATTCTCTCTGGTTCCAACCTGAAGAGAAGAATAGTTGCTGGAAAGCCCGAAGCCATGTTGAGAACAGTCCTAGAACACTTCTCTGTTCTTAGCACTGTTCTGAGCCCCAGATGGGTTTTAAAACTTTTCTGCCTCCTTATTCCAGTAAGTTCTAATTCCTGGTTTCAAACTTGTTTAAGAACAGGGAAATTACCCCTGCCCTACGCCACTGCAATGCTCTCTAAGAACCTGGACGCATCTGAGGTCCAGGAGTTAGAAACCCAGTAAAGTGTGGGAGATGGCGGGGAATCCCTCACATTATCAGTCACTCCTGAATACTCAGAGTTCTTCCCCAGTGTCAGGTACCTTGTGTGTCAGAAGGTGCTGTAGGATTACCCTAGTCAGGTTCCCATGAGGAATGGTGTTCCTGACCCAGGAGGTAGCTGAAATCGGAAAGTCTCAAAGATAAGACTGTAGCATTATTCGTAATAGCCAAGATATGGGTACAACCTAAGTGTCCATTAACAGATGAATGGAATATATACCCAGTGGAATACTATGCAGCCCTAAAGAAGAATGAAATCTTGTCATTTTCAACAACGTGGATGAACCTAAAGCATATTATGTTAACAAAAATATGCCAGACATAGAAAAACAAATACTGCATGATCACACTTATGTGTAGAATCTAAATGAGTTGAAATCATAGAAGTATAGACTAGAAGGGTGGTTGCCAGGAGCTGAGAGTAGGGGGAAATGGAGAGATGTTGGACAAAGAGGACAAAGTTTCAGTTATATAGGATGAGAATAGATTCTAGAGACCTAATGTACAGTATGGAAACTGTAATCGTAATAATATTATATTGTTTATTTGAAATTGGCTGAGAGAGTAGATCTTAAGTGTTCTCACCACACACACACACACACACACACACACACACAAATCATAACTATAGGAGGTGATAGATGTGTTAATAGCTTGATTGTGGTAATCATTTCACAATACATAGGTATATAAAAACATCACATTGAACACCTTAAATATATCCAATTTTTAGTTGTCAATTATACCCAATAACATTGGGGAAAAAAGAAAAGAGAGCTAAATCATAAAGATAAATAAAAGTCACCAAGTCTCATGAGGTACCAACTCCATCACGATACATGTTTTCATGAGCTGTCCCATTAGATTTCCCCAACAACTCTGTGATGTGGGTGTTAGTTTCCCCAATTTATAAATGAGAAAATTGAGATTCAGAGTGATTAAGGAATGTTCAATTACTCTGCTCATCAAAATGCCATGAAAAAGCCCAACTCTGATTGATGGAAAAAGCTGGCTTCCCAAGTGTTATCAACTGATATAATTAAGACTGTAAAAGCCTTCCTCATAAGAGCATTGTTATTTCCAAAGAAGAATGCTTTTCCAACTTTACAGGTGATGGAGTTAGCAGTTATCACCCAAAGTCATGGAAGGGAAGAAAAATTGTAATCATTCTTCATAACACTAATACGTTTGCAGAACAAAATGCTAGCTACTAAAATATTTTATGAATAGGAAAGCTGCTAGACCCATAATTCTTAGCTCCCATAAGAATTTACAGTAAAACGGGCATCTGATATTTGCATGCCTTCAAAGTTTCTTTTGGTTTGTCACTGGGACTCCGAAAATAGCCCAGTTCTACTGAATTATTAATTAAACCCAGACCATTTGCAAACTCCAGCTGAGGTTCAAATGCTTAGGGACTGTAGAAAAACCACAGTGAAAGACAGAGAGAGAAAAAAAATCCGGGGGAAGGAGGGAGGAGGGGAGAGAGAAAACAGAAGAACCATAATTGTCCCAGGAATTCCCTGTTTAAAATTTACATCATGTATTTGTTTTCATTACCCGTTTCCTGGTCTTGTCTTTAAGAAATGGCTTGATGAGTGTGTAGAGGGCATGAATGTACCAGGGCTGGTTGACAAAGTGGACTCCTCCAAAGCGGGCAGGAAAGCTGTCCTGGGGCAGAAAGAGAGAAATGCACATCAATTAGTAAGCACCCTTTGTTAGACTGCACCAGCAGGACCAATGCCCCAAAGAACAACCTGTTTTTCCTGCCTGGTAGAAGCTCTAGCTTCAGGATAAGGAGAGGAGGAAAACACACTCACTTAACACACTAGTTGTTAAGGATGTCTTTATTCCCCTTGCCTCCCTTCTCTCCCTTTGACTCCATGCATAACTTTAAAATTGTGTATGGGTTCCAGGTCTGTCTTTTTCAAATCACAATTACGTGACCTTCTACGTGGCACAGAAGCTCGTGCAGCCTGGAGAGTGGGGGGAATCTGAATTCATTGCATTAGGTAACCAAGTCTGCCAGGCTCTCAGCACAAGATCTCTCTCTTTACCCTCATTTCCACTCTCCTGCTCCCACCCTCTCCACTGGCTTAATCATGACAGTAACTGTACTTTCTGGGTAAGTGAGTGCTGGCTGTGCAGGAAGTAGTTGCAAAAGGATTTCAAAGGCTCTTAGGAGATGGAACTCTGTGGAATCAACCAAATTTTAACAAGGTTATAACAACTTTTTCACAGATTGCAGTACTAGCTCCAGTCCACCCTGGGGCACATAGTAAGTCCCAGGGAAAAGATACTTGCTGATTAATGGGCTAGTTGATTCTCCTAGTTGAGGGAATATGAACACCCTTTTCTGCAGATCAACCCATTTCGTAAATAATAGGAAGGAAGAGCATTTAAGAAGAATGATTCCAAATTTAGAATCCAGATCAGGGCATTAGAACCCAGATCAGCTTATGTTTTAGATGCTAGGAAGCTGCTCTCAGTGCTAATTAGATCTATGGAACAAGGGACCATGGCCAGAAAGTCTGAGCTAGTCTTATAAGACCAGGTCCTGAGATCTCCCGATGAATGACTTCAGTAGATTGGGTTCATCTCAGTTAATAGAATTAAAAAAGAAGGAACCTCTAAATGGTGTATGAATTGTCAAGTTTGCTATCAATTTCATTGCGACAAACATCTTTGTAAAATGTTAGCAAGATGAGATGAAAGCCGAGGGAGTCTGGCTGGTGGAGCAAATGGTTCAGCAGCTAGCTGTTCCCTGCGGGTGTGTGAGATGTCTCACTCGGGTCTTTTTTAGTAACAAGGAAAAAAGGTTATTAAATTTTTTTCAGAACCCTTTGAGTCTACAGGATCCCTAGGCATCTTCCATGCCAAGACCTAGTTTCCAATGTGAGTGCATGGAACTGCACTTAGGGTTGACATTTGAAAAACTTTAAAAATAATTTTTCCCTCTACCTAGACATTTTAGAGTAGAAAGGAATTAAATATTTTGAAGGCTAAATTGGACAATAACAGTACAAGGCCTTTGCTTTCAGAATATGTATATATATTTTGTTTTGTTTCTTTTATTTTCAAAAACTTAACAAGTATAGGGCTAGAGACATCATTTATACTAACTTGCTATTCCAAAACTAATTTGAGAAATGTAAAGGTTCTTAATAAGGTTGTCTTTTTCCCTCTAGGTATATTTTAGGATCTAAAAGTTTTATGATTCCTTAAAAAAAGAGACTATTCCCAAAAGTGTTTCCTTTATAATAACTGCTATTCACCATCATCACATCTTTTGGCCCCTTTTAACTTCTTATTCAGAAGTAGAATTCATTATTTCACTTACTAAATGTGGTTCTTAGGGGTCATAGAAGAAGAATAGGAGTAAAGCACTTATTTATAAAACCAGGGCTTTACTATCTTTTCTAGTGGGACCAATAAGAGGTTTATTTCTATCGATGGTCCATTGTGTTATATAGTTCTAGGTTAATAAAGTGGAAGGAAACTCTAAATAATATTGAGAGTAGGCAAAGTTGCAAAATATTAACCTTTTAAAAATATCTAGACATTCTAAGTTTTAGTTTATGAAGCCTCAATCATCAAAGACATCAAAAACTATCTTCTGATTGTGACAGGGGAGGTTGAAAGAAAATTATAGTGCTGAGACTCTGTAATTACTCTCTACGTTATCCCTGGTTGAGGATTCTGCCAGATTGAAGGCATGGGCTTTTATTCATCTCACTCAAGTCATCCAGTGAATATATGCAGACAAACCCATGTGAACCCTGTGTCTTGAAGTTCTGAGTTTGCACCAGAGTAGAAACAGAATCACTTTTATTCAGGTACCTCCTATACAATTCACATGAAAGGCCCTCCTGTCTGATAAAGGCAATGTACACATGTTCTGGGTCTTCTTGAATGAGCCCAGCCATGCTAGTGTGTGTGTGTGTGTGTGTGTGTGTGTGTTGTGCAGAGGGGAAGGGGAGGGAAGGCAAAATCAGCAAACACCCTTCTCATGGTCAACACATCATTACTGGTTGCCTCTGCCTGATCACATCAGTCAACTGTAGACAAAAGAGAAGTTGTCAGTCACACAAAAGTCTCCCAGAACCCCAAGAGGCCTACCACCCTCCTGGAAGAGCATTTCTTAGGGGTCTAGAACAGCTGTATCTCAAGATCATAGGCCTTGGTTCAATGACAGTGTAACACTTTGTCTTTCAGTGTTCTTGGAGACAAAAGAACATACACCAACATACTCTAAGTTCAAGAAAATGGCATTAATCCTGTACTTTTATACATTTGTCAATAAAAATATAACGTCATTTCAAATTTTAAACAATTCGACTCATAAAAACGTGTCTGCCTCGAGTTTAAGTTAATTTTGTTTCCTTATTATATTTTATACACATTCTACAAAAGTAAAAAATAGATAAAAACATTATTTGAAAAATTAGAAGATATAAGAAGAGAAGAAAAAAGAAAAGAAAAGGCCCCTATAATCCCACTGCCAAAGATACACTCTTACTATTTTCTATTATTCAGGATGGGTTATGTAATGTTATAGTAACAAATAACCCCTACTTTTTTTTAAATCATTTAAAGCAGTAAAGATTGATTCTTTGTTCACATTAAATGTCTTGCTTGATTTTTGTCTTTCCTGATTAATTTCCTGCTCACACTAAATGTCCTGCCCCGCTTGATTTGCCTGCAGCCAGAGATGCAGCCTCCTCCATATGGAGCAGTGCTGCTTGACATAGTCCAGGAAAACCACATGGAAGAATCATACCTTAGCTCTTAAAGCTGGCTGCAAAAGTGGCATGCTTCATCTGCCATATTTTAAAGGTCAAACTCATGCCTGGCTTCCAGGGGATCAGAAAGTAAAATCTACCATGTTTCCAGTAAGAAGAGGACCAAACGTATTGGCAAATAGCAGTAATAATTACCCAAACTCTGTCATCCCTTCACTTATCTTTTTTTCTATCCTTTTTAAATGTGGTCATTTTTTAATTGAACGTAATAACTATTTTTGATGGCCTACAGTATGTCTCACTTAATGCATTGAAAAATAAAAACATAGAGTCTTCAGAGCAGTGGGGAAAACAAAACAGCAATTGTATAATGATACATTTAGTGTATTCAATTCTTGCCTTAACAGTTAATTCATGCCTTGCACCTCTTCCATTTAGCACATATTTGTGAGTGTCTACTACATGACAAACAGTGGGCATATTCTCCAAAGTGTACTTTAGCGACCAGGGGACTCTGTGATTTTTATCCCCTTTCTTGCCTTCTCTAACCTGTGCTCTACTCACATCCTACACTGTTGAGGTCAGTCGCTTTCATTTTATGGTGATATTATTTCATGGTAATTTCATGTTATGTAAAATTGCAACCTCTCAGAAAATGAAGCCTATAAACCTTAGATAAGCATAAGTTTTTTTGCTTTTTTAAAGCAAAAGTTGGAAGTTCTGGCCATGGCAATTAGGCAAGAGAAAGAAAAAAAGTATTCGAATAGGAAGAGAGGAAGTCAAATTATCTCTGTTTGCAGATGACATGATTCTATGTTAGGAAAACTCCATAGTCTCAGTCCAAATACTCCTTAAGCTTATAAGCAACTTCAGCAAAGTCTCAGGATACAAAATCAATGTGCAAAAATCACAAGCATTCCTATACACCAATAACAGACAAACAGAGAGCAAAATAATGAGTGAACTCCCATTCACAATTGCTTAAAAGAGAATAAAATACCTAGGAATTCAACTTACAAGGAATGTGAAGGACCTCTTCAAGAAGAACTACAAACCATTGCTCAATGAAATAAAAGAGGACACAAACAAATGGAAGAACATTCCATACTCATGGATACGAAGAATCAATATCGCGAAAATGGCTGTAATGCCCAAGGTAATTTACAGATTCAATGCCATTCCCATCAAGCTACAAATGACTTTCTTCACAGAATTGGAAAAAACTACTTTAAAGTTCATATGGAACCAAAAAAGAGACCACATTGCCAAGACAATCCTAAGTCAAAAGAACAAAGCTGGAGGCATCACACTACCTGACTTCAAACTATACTACAAAGCTACGGTAACCAAAATAGCATGGTACTGGTACCAAAACAGAGATATAGACCAATGGAACAGAATAGAGCCCTCAGAAATAATACCACACATCTACAACCATCTGATCTTTGACAAACATGTCAAAAACAAGAAATGGGGAAAGGATTCCCTATTTAATAAAAGATGCTGGGAAAAGTGGTTAGCCATATGTAGAAAGCTGAAACTGGATCCCTTCCTTACACCTCATACAAAAATTAATTCAAGATGGATTAAAGACTTAAATGTTTGACCTAAACCATAAAAACTGTAGAAGAAAACCTAGGCAATACCATTCAGGACATAGTCAAGGGCAATGACTTCATGACTAAAAACCAAAAGCAACAGCAACAAAAGACAAAACTGACAAATGGGATCTAATTAAACTAAAGAGCTTCTGCACAACAAAAGAAACTACCATCAGAGTGAACAGGCAACCTACTGAATGGGAGAAAATTTGTACAACCTACCCATCTGACAAAGGGCTAATACCCAGAATCTACAAAGAACTCAAACAAATTTACAAGAAAAAAATCAAACAACCCCATCAAAAAGTGGGCAAAGGATATGAACAGA